CTGGGGGATTGAACCGCGGTCCCTGTGCATTGCCAAGCTTGTTTCAAGTAGGTGCTTTAGACCACTGAGCCATCTCTCCAGCCCTGATAACTACTTTTTACAACAGCAGAATAAAGACACTGGAGGGTCATCGTCGAATCTGTATTTTCCAGAATTCGGTAGATCTTTGCACTCTGATATAAACACACGAAGTTCTGTCTCTGGGAAGCCATTCTGTTGGTAGTGCTGCGGAGAAGAACGAAAAGCCATCATTAACGAACCCCTTGGAAGCAGCAGTATTCCAAATTCAGAATGGATCATTTGGCAAGGGAGAGGATTTTTTTTTTCCCCAGAGCCACAGTTTAGGGTTCCCAAGAACTCTCAGAAGATGCAGCCTCTGGGTCCTTCTTAGTTTTGGCTGAGGTGAAGCAGGCCTGGGGTTGTGTGGCTTCCTGCTTCATCTCTTTCCTGGGTCTACTATAGCCACGGCAGGGCACTGGGAATCTGGGTGTCTTCAAGGAGAATTGAGCCAGCCATATCCTCCATCTGCAAGCCTCTGTCACCGCTCTGCCCTCTCACATCATGACTTCCAGGCCAAGCTAAATCAAGCTCCTTAGATGAAACCCAACTGACTGAGATTAATGAGATATTGCGGGAGAGGTACTGCGAGTGAACAATCTTAGCCTTCTCTGAATGACCTCAGCACAGCTGTGGGCACTTCTGAGATGGCCCAGGTGTCTAGATAGAGAACCGAAGGCCACAGACACAGCTCCCATTGCACAGCCTTTGCAGTCACTCCTCCAGGCAGACAGGTGTGGTGAAGGGACCTGTTGCATAGCCATTTGGGATCTGAGATCCCTAGCACAGCCCCTAACCAGAAAAGATCAGAACTCACTTAACTTGACCATTTGGCAAGTATGCTGAGCCCAGAGAAAGAGACTAATATTTGTAACAGGAGGCTGAGTCCTTTGTCATCTACAGCTACTCTTAGAGATCTTGGATGTCACCCTTGAGTGACACCTGGTTCTCTGCATGTAGAGGTAAAGGTCATGAACATTGAGAGTACCACAAGGAGAGATGGGACAGTTTCGTCTACATTCTTTCCCAGTCCCCTTGGGGAGCAGTGTGCCTATCTGTCAAACAAGTATTGCAGAGAATGAGGAGGATGGTCAGTCCCTAAGCCATGGCTCAGTAAGAGTGCAGTTGTAGCCCAGGCTTCATGAGCAAGGTCTACATTGCTATCCAGTCCAACCCACGGCCTTCTCGTCATGCGCTGGACCAATCACATGGCAAAATGTTTCAGCAGTCTCATTCCCAGAGGGAGAGGTCCCTAAATGGAAGTGTCTACTTCAACAGTACATTTAAAAGTATAAAGTCAGTAGAATTTAAATAGAGATGTTTATTCTGCCTTCCCATGCTTTAAAAACTTCAAATGCATAGCATTTAAAAGCAGATCTCTGACTACAAAGCAATCATGACCGATACTCAACACACCAACCTTTCTACTATTTTGGAGGTTGGGCCTTAAGGTTGGCGCTCGCAGAAACGAATGTGTTCAGTTATGGCACATCCCAAATGAAGGGGACAATTTTTCTTTATAAAAATTGTATTCCTGAAGCCCTCAAAGTTTTGGCTTTCCACAGTGGCATCTATTTTGTTCACCACAAACCTGTTTACTATTATGCTTTTAACGAACACTGAAAAGCTTACTTGAAAAAGTACCATTGCTTAAACGATTCGACACTCTGGAAATTGCATTTCTCCTTCGCTTCTCTTTCCCAGGCTCTAACGTTGAGGTCCTTCTCTATCCTGAACAAATAAACATCCCATCGATTTCCTGACTTTAGCTACTAAATTTCACTGTTAGAACACAACTCTACAAAAATGCTGCTACTTATGACAAACTTACCTTGATTGTTTCATATGTATCGGTGATCAATGCAATGAAAAGGCTTAAAATCATATATATGAAGAGGCTGATGAACGAGTAGAGGTAAATTCTGCTGAACAGCCAGACCAAGTAACTCTTTTGCTGCATTTTTGCAAAGGTGGCAAACATGTCATCTCCATTTATCAGAGAAAAAAGGCACTCAGAGACCCTGTTCAGAGAACGGAACTGGAAAAAGAAGACAGAAAGAGGAGTTTTCTTCCACATTCTTTCCCCCCTTAGAAACCTTTGTTTGTGACATATTAAAAATTAGACTACGTATCCCAAGTTACTCTTTACAAAAAAAATGTGAAGCAGCACAAGCCACTGCTTTGTGATATATATGCCTGCACAAGCCGCTCTCCTTTCTCCTGGGATAAGCAGCCCTTTCTTAATCATTAAGGCAGCCTAAAGGCAGGCCGAAGGGGCAGGGTCCTGTACTCTCAGTGACTTTCCAAGTCAATCCTTCCCCCTTCCTCTCCTGTACCTTCACAGACTGGGACCCTTGAAATGCCTATGTGGAAACGCCCAGGTCCCAAACCCGCCCACTCAAATGTCTCCTTTTAACATTCATTTCATGTATGCAAATGCATGATGATCAAGACTAGCGCTCTGGTAGCAAAATTTTTAAAAATCCAGGGGACCAGGGAGATGGCTCAGTAGAATAAGCATTTGCCTGGCAAGCACAAGGCCCTGAGTTCAATCCCCGGTACCGGAAAAAAAAAAAAAAGAAAAGAAAGAAAAAAAAGGAAGAAAAGAAAAAAAAAAGACTAAAAATCCAACACATTTCTCTCTATACTGCTTTTTAAAAATAAAGTTACATTCTGATAGGGCTTACCCATCACCCCCATTCTAACACATCATATACTAATGGAATTAATTAAACTTGACTTCACTGGTGGTAGAAAGAACTTAACTGTCTGAAATTTTTCAAACAAGATTGGAAGTAACCCAGCAAATCAATGATTCTCTTAAGTTGATATCGCTTTACTAGTTTAGAAACACGGCAACTGATACATTGGAGTTTCTAAGGGTGAGTCACAGAATAAAAGAAGTCCATTCAAAAAAAAATAATAATAATAATAAAGGAGCCATCAGCTCTATTCTAAAGCTTAGTGATAACAGGAGAAAAGTAACTCCTCAGTACCTTATCGTGGTAAGGCCCCAGCACGATCCACCCACAGAAGCAGTAGCCTAAATAAATCATAGCGGCACAGCAGCAGAACCTGATGACGTTGGGCAACGCGGCCTGAAGCGTCAGGATGAGCAGCTGGAAAGTAAGAGACATCGTTAAACCCCTTGGCGCTTCACCCAAGACAGTGCAGTCACTGAGCAGCAATAGTGCAGACGTCCGCGGAACTCCTTACATTGTACTTCTCAAAGAAACCCAGGTATCGGATGACTCCAAGCCACACAAGCATGGTGGACGTCCCAAGAAGTATGCTGCAGACATCATAGCTTGTGAGACTCTAAAATGGAGTGGAAAAGATACATTAAAGAGCACAAAATACTGATTGGGTAGCCGTGAGTCAGGTACTCTTTTAGGCACTAAGATGACTCAGTGAACACACAATTCCCTGTCCTCAGTTGGCCTGCATGAGGCTTTGGTACATTAGCTGATAGCAAGTGCTGAGGAGAAAGGAAAAGGGGGCCTGTAATGGGTATGAGTTTATGTTTTCAGTTTTGTTTGTTTTTGTATTTTAGGGAAGGGTCTACAGGGTATTCAGGGTCTCACTATTAGATCAGACTTGTAGTGATTCTCCTTTTACAGCCTCCCAAGTGCTGGGATTACAGGCGCGCACCACCGTGCCCAGTATCAATAGCCATCTCAGCGTGCCCCGGGAGCGGGAGAGGGGCCGGCATGGCAGGTCCCAGGATTAAACTCCTGGCCCCTGCACCTGCTTGCAGGCACTTTAATCTGCTAAACTATTTGGCCAGTCCATGAGTTTATGTTTTGAGACAGGGGAATCAGTGAAGAGCTCCACGGAGAGTGCCACATGAGCAGAGCAGGAAGGGACGAAGGAGCAAGCAAAAGTCAAGGGGAAGAGGAGCTGGGGCAAAGGCTCGGGCACAAAGCAGCTTGGCAAGAGCGTGCATCTGGCCTAAGTGAGCAACAGAGTAGGGAGACATAAAGGTCAGGGGCAGGAAGCAGAGGGGACCCCACATGCTGAGCAAGTTTGTCTCTGTCCCAGAATGTTTGCAAGATTAAAAAGCCCTGAATAGAGCTAGGCAGTAATCCCAGGATGCTGGGAGGCTCAGGCAGGAGGACTGTAAATTCAAACCCAATTTGGGCCACCTAGCAACTGGAAAGGGCCAGGGATTATAGCTCAGTGCAAAGGCCCAGGGTTCAATCCCTGGTACACAGAGGAGGGAGGGTGAAGACAAAGAGGAAGAGGAGGAGGAGGAGGAGGAAAAGGAAGAAGAGAAGGAAGAGGAGGAGGAAGAAAGAAAGTTGCAGCCCTGACTGGGGTCAGGGTGACCTGACTCAGTGGGAGCCATTGTGGTGGGGAGCAGGTCATGGGAGGAGACAGGGAGCTGCTGACATTGTGTAAGTGGGAGCTGTTAACGGTTTTGATGAGCTGGGCACAATAGAAGTAATGAGGTGATTTTAAAGGTAGAACTATAGGTCTTCCTCCTGGATTAGATGTGGGAGACATGGGTAGTGAAGAACTGAAAATCCCATTCAAGCCAGCTATCCCCCTATTGGAAATTTTCCTGGAGGAACTGAAAATGTCATATCATACTGATATATGTGTATCTATGTTTATAGCAGCATAATTTGTGATAGCCAAGTCTTGGAAACATCCAAGATGCCCATCACCTGAGAAATGGATGAAAAAGATGTGGTATTTTTATATAATGGAGTATTACTCAGCTATAAAGAATGATAAACTTGAAGTCTTTATATTTAAGTGGATACCACTTGAAGATATACTCATAAGCGAAATAAACCAGACCGACATGTGTAAATATTGTATAGTTTCCCTAGTATAAGAACTCAAAAGAAGAAATACAAATAGAAAGGTATAATACAATTAAAAAGAAAGTGAGAATTTGAGGATTAGACAATGAAAAGAGGGCAAGGAGAAAAGCTAGAGAACAGGACAGGGTCAAAGCCATACATTTATACACAAAAGATGGGTAAGGCAATGATCCTGAGAGCTATCAGCAGGTTGTTGAAACTAGCAGTTAGTTGGTGGGATTCTCACCCTGACTAACTATATATGCTGATTCCTGTGAACTGAGCGACTTCACTGAAGATAGCAATGTGTAATAGTAGGGTCATGCTTGGAATGCCTGTCATTCTGGTCTTCTAAATATGTACTGCTTATCATGACATACCAATTATGGCCAGACTGTATCTCAAGTAAATGTTTATTTTTTTTTTTAAAAAAAGGGTAATAAATGAAAAAAAAAACAAGAAAAAAATGTCATAAGACATTGATGTATATGGTTAGATTTCTAAATTTCTGTGTAAAAATATGTAACTGTTTATTCATATTATTAAAAATACTTCTTTATTTTTTTAATTATTTTTCCATATTCTGTAGAGACTTAAAGTTTAACATATCAATACTTGATGGAAAATACATGTTCTATCTTATGCCTAAGATGTTTGATATTCAGACAGATAGTGAGGTTAAACCCAACTGCATATGTTGTAATAATAAGCTTCTCTTCTGAAGGGTTAACAACCTAAGTTTGCAGACCAAAAATTAGAGAAAAAGAAGAGCTGCATGGACAGCCATCATTTTGGCCCTAGCCTTTCAAGGTCAGTGAGGACTCAGGACATAGGAGAACCTATATTGTAACATCATGTAACTCAGTTGTGTCACAAATTTTCTGATCAAGAAGATTATGGGGCCACAGAGAAATGTGATTGATGATGTAGTGTGTGCCTAAGAAGAGTCACATGGAGAGAAAACATTCTCTCAGGCTTTCACAGAGAGCAAATTGGTCAAGCAATGGCTGTGACTCACCCATATGACTGACACTGACAAAGGATCTACAAAGTGCGGTACAGGATTTCAGAATAAGTCCTGAGGGGACTTGACTGACCTTGTCAGATACAAAAGTTACATTTCTTGATATATAGGCCTTGCTTTATCTTGGTCTTAACCATCCAGCAGAAAAGTATAGAAACGATGTATGAAAAGTGAAGCCATGTTAATATGCAGAGCTGTGGAAGGCTCAAGTCAACAGATTAGGACATTGCCAGTCCAGTGGATAACCCACTACTATTGTGAACTACTGAACTATATTGGAATATTTTGCTGAATTCATGCACCTACAATATTTGGATGGCAATGGGATACCCATCTCTGACAAAACTAAACAAAAAAGGAGATATAAATGAAGGACAATTTTGTATCTGTATATGCAAAATAGTTAAGATAGATATATAGCCACTTTCTCTTAATTCAATAAGAAGAAAGATGTGTACTAATAGTGTTTGGACAGGATACTGTGTCTGCATCTTGTGTTATGAATGACTACTACAAAGACAGCAATATGAAATGTATTAATTGTTGTAACTCTCCTACCAACTTGTTTTGAAACTGTCTCATTGTAATTTTTTCCCAATAAAATTAATAAAAAATTAAAAATCTATATCTTTTGGCTTGAGCAACTGAAGAGAGTTGTCATGAGTTGAAACAGGAAAGGTTATAGGTGAAGCAGGTTTGAACTGTGGAGCTGGAGACTTTAGGTGGTTTTTCTTTGTTTGGTTGGTTGGTTTTGGTTTTTTAATTATCTTGAATTTGACAGATTAAGCAGTCCAAGTGCAGATGCAGCATAGACATTTGAATACTTGGGTCTGGAGTTCAGGGAAGAGTTCCAAACTGGAACTATAGGTTTGGGAATCACTGACACACAGACACCTCTTAGATCATCTTTCTGAGATGGGATGATGTCACTATGGCCTCGGCGGAAGAGAGGCTACCCAAGTACTGCACCTTGAAGCAGTACTGCCTCACAAGTCAGCAAGGGAACAGGGAACCAGGAAGGCACACCTGAAGATCGGCCAGTGAGTTAGGAGGAAAACCAGGTCAGTGACAGCCCAGCGAAAGAGCAGGTCTGAAACACAGCCTGCTTGGCAGCATGAGAAGCTGCTCCTGGGTCATGATGGGGATGAGTGGCTGATGGCTGCACCTAGCAGGATGGCACAGCAGCCTGACTGGACCCAACATGAGGAAGAAGGCACGGAGCACAGTCACAACATTAAGATCATTTCTTTGAGACCTTTTGCTATATACGAGGGAGCAAAAAATAGGGGAATAACTGGAGAAAGAAATGAAGACTGAGATTTTATCTCGGAGAGAGGAAAAATGTAACAGGGGAACCAGCAGGTAAGGAGAGGGGACCTGGTGATTCCAGAGAGAGGAGGAGGAGCTACAGCAATGCCCTTGGGGAAGCAAGGGAGAGTGGCAGCTGGCACATGGGTAGGACTGGTCTAGAACAGTGGTCTAAAGTATTCACAGTAACAAGATGATCAGTAGCCACTGATGCTTATAGGTAGAAAAGTGAAGCAGGAGTTAGTGGAGGTTCCAGGATTTTCCTCCTATTGTTCTTGTAAGACAGGAAGTACAGTCATTCATTGGCTGAGAGTGAGGATGGGAAGGAGTGTCAGAAGTTCTAGAAGAGATGAAATGTTTATCCATTTGGATGAGTGATCTAGACAGAGGAAAGATGGTTGGACATCACAAGGGCTTACTGAGGATAAAAATAGCAGAGGTTGGTAAAAATAAAGATTTGCCACAAGTCACCCTAAGTCCTTCTTTTCACCCTTAAAATTGAATGGCATACTCCTGCCACATAGAGGGGCAGCTGCTCAAATTCAACCTAAGCCCACCCTCGCCTCGCCCCTGCTCTCCGTGCAGTTGGGTTTGACCATGGGAATGGGAACAGAAATGAGAACTGCTACTTTCAAGCCAAGGCCACCAGAGAAGGAAGAGCTTCTACTAGACGGTGTTTCCAATTTCCACAGGCCGCAGCTGCAACCTGTTGTGAGCTCACCCTCATTGGCAGTGAGCTTTTGAGGGATGGAAACGAAGCAAAATAAGAGATCGGATCCATTAACGACTGCATGGAGTTGAGCAGGGTGTTGACCTGAAAACCCACCCTGCTATTTCATAAGACAGAGAGAAGCTCCTTTCTTAGCTGCATTTGGACTCTGCCTGTGTCACAACCTGCTCATACATGACCCAACACAGTTAGTCGTGTAAAGGCTGGGAAAATAGAAGAATAAATAAGATTAGTTTAAACAGTACTAGTTATTCAATTTGAGTTTTGTTTTGGGGAAAATGTTGCTTTCTAGGCAAGGTTAGGCTTAAACTAGGACAGCCTTGGATCCTATCAATGGGAAAGTAGAAAATGGGAATATTCTCATTTTGAATGGATAGAAGAAACAAATGGAACCACTCACAAAATAGTATCATGACTCCACTTTTTCCTACACCTTCTTTTTTTGTTGAAAATTTTGATATTTTTTCTAAGGTCTGTTTTAATTCTTACCTTAATTATCCTGGTGTGTGTATGAAGTTTTGTGTGTGTAAGAGTTTGGATCATAGCCCCACATGCAGAGTTTGGATCCAAAGCTTTATCAGAGTGCGTTACTGCCAGGCACCCAAGTGGTTCTGATCCAGTGGTTTGTGGAATATATTTTGAAGACCTCTGCCTAAGAGACTCCTTGACCAGAGTAAAGAAAATTACTGTTTTCAATGTCAAGTTTACTCACCATAAGTCTTGGGTGAAATCATTTACTCTGAAATTCTCATTTTGTATAAAATATCATTCACCTGAATTGATACTAATAATGGCATGATTAAGAAAAAAAAATTACCTTCGCTTGGATTTCCATTTTCAGAATTGAACCAATGACTGTCAGTATGTCACTAATAATAATCATAATGTACCATCCATTGACAAATTCCATCTGATCAGAAACAGAAACTTCCTTCTTATAATGGAGGAGGAAAAAACTGACAAATTCCTTTAGGGAAGAGAGGAGAGGCACCGTGAGTTTCTCTGTCAATCAGAATGTCAGTAGTGCTGCCTGCGAGCAGCAGGCCCTACCTGCTGAAGCTGAAGTCCTCGAATCACAGATCTAATGCAGAGAAGCAGCGAGGCTAAGCATGTCAAGATGACAAAAGCGTCAAAGATCATCATGTAATGAGTGTTCTTCTGAACTGAAAGTAAAGAAGATCATGTGTATAGAGACTGTCATACTATCTTCTTTTTAGAATAATTTAGATAATTCTAGCATTCTTTCCAAAAAAATGACAGAGACCCTGACAAACATTCTTCCAATCAATGTTTGAAGCTTAAAAATTCTTCTTTCAGAGAGCCAGTTTTTCTAGCACCGTTTATTAAAGTGGCTATCTTTCTTCCAGTGAACGTGTTTGACCCCTTTATCAAAGAAAGATAAGGTGACTGAGTATGTTTCCAGTTATGGCTGCACCTTCTAATCTGTCCCACTGATCCTCAGGTCAAATTTTTGCCAGTACCATGCTGACTTTATTATAGTGGCTTTGTAGTACAATTTCAAGTCAGGAGTTGCAATGTCTCCTGCCATGCTTTTGTTGCCCAGATTAGCTTTTGCTATTCTAGGTCTCTTCTGGTTCCAAATGAATTTTTATTTATTTATTTATTTATTTATTTTGTATTTTAGGGAAAGATTTACAGGATGTTCAGGGTCTCACTACTAGATTGGATGCATAGTGATCCACCTGTTTACAGTCTCCCAAGAGCTGAGGTTTCAGGCATGCACCACCACGCCCAGTCTCAATTGCAGTCTCAGTGCGCCCCGGGGTTGAGGCCAGCATGGCAGGCCCAAATGAATTTTTAAATGTTTTCTCTAGTTCCATAAGGTATGCTAATGGTATTTTGATTGGGATTGCATTAAATCTGTATAACAATTTTGGGAGTATGGCCATTTTCACTTTGTTGGTTCTTCCTATCCATGAGCAAAGGCTATCCTCCCATTTTCTAATATACTCTTCAATCTCTTTTTTTCAGAGAACTATAATTTTCAATGTATGGATCTTTTACTTCCTTCATAAATGCTGATTCCTAAGTATTTCTTTTTTTAGGATGCTATCATGAAAGGTGTGGTTTCCTTAATTTCTCTATCAGTAGTTTGTCGTCTGTATACAGTTTTTTATGTTGCCATCACAAGTAGGACTTTATTTATCACTATTAAAAATATGAATCTTAAACAGACTCTTGGACTGGTGGTTCATATCCATAGCTCATTCAACTTTTGCTCCAGTCTCATCCCCCAGTAGCCTTTCCAGAGCTACTACCTTCACCATGAAGCTCCATGAGTTTTCCCAATTCAAACTTGGGCTTCTTCAGCATTTTTACTTTTCTGAAGACATCATGAGGGTAGATAGATTGGCAAGACTTTTCTATGCTGTCTGGAATCAGTTTAGTGACCACTTCCTTCAAGTCATTTTCTGTACCTCTGGGGTCATGATTTCCATCATCTTCTTCTGGATCTGGCAGACCTGCTGGTGCTGAGCATAAGAGGTCTTCGGTATCTGATTGTTGTGGTTTTTAGTAAAGCCAACACAGAACAGTTGAAGCAAATAACCATCAGTAGCCTTGACATCAACAAGAGCTTTAATCATGGTCTGCCATTTTTTGACCAAGGAACACACTTTGTCACAGGTGAGGTCCATGCCATGAAAGTTAGTCAGGCAGTTTTTGCTCTGAACATCTTCAGTAATTAGCTTGAAGTTTCTAAAGGCAACTTCATCATTCTGCAGATCAGCAATGCTCACTTCAAACACAGGACCTCTGAGCCCATCAGAGGCAATTTTGGTTCCTTGAGTTCTGGTGAAGAGTGTTTTTCCAATATTTCTTGTGTTGAACATAGCTGGCACCTTCACGTCATGCCAGTCTTTTTTAGAAAATGAATCAATCACTTTCTTCTTGGCTCCTTTTTTGCCACCTTTTGTAAGGTGGTTGTTCTTGTCTACTGCCTTGGTGCTGCTTAGAGAGCCAAAAGGGCTGTGTACAGAGTTTTGAACGTTGACTTTGTATCCAGTTATGCTACTGAATTTGGTTATTAAATTTGGAAGTTTTTTGGTGGAGTTTTTGGGGTCTTCTCTGTAGAATGTCATGACATCTGCAAACAATAATTTAACTTCATCCTTTCCGATCCTTATTCTTTTTACTACTCCCTCTTGTCTAATTGCTCTGGCTAATGTTTCTAGAACTATATTGAATAGGAGTGGTGATTAGATCCATGTCTATCAGCATTCACTGAACTAATGTAAAACTGGATCAAAGTTCTAAACATTAAAACAGAAACACTAAGTCTGCTGAAAGAGAAAGTAGATAGAAATCATAAAGAAATGGGTGTAGGCAGAGACTTCATGAATAAAAAACCCAATCAGCAAGGGAAATATTACAAAAAATAAACAAATGGGGTCTTAATTTATTAAAAAGCTTCTGCACAGCAAAAGAAATACTAACAGAGTCAAAAAACAACCCAAAGATTGGGGGAAGGTATTGCAGAGGCCCCTCAGACAAAGGATTCATATTTAGAACATATAAAGAATTTTTAAAAATCAGACCTCCCAAACTTAAAGACCCAATCCAAATATTGGCATCTGAGATGAAAACACACTTCTCAGATGAAGAAACATAGATGGCAAATAAATATATGAAAAAATATTCAACATCTTTGGTCATTCAAGAGATGCAAATTAAAACAACACTGAGATTCCATCTCAACCCAGAAATAACGACTGTCATAAAAAAAATCAACCAATAACAAATGCTGACGGGGCTGTTGGGAAAAGAACCCTTCTCCACTGTTGGTGGGAATGTAGACTGATACAACCACTGTGGAAATCAGTGTGGAGATTCCTAAAAAATCTAGGATTAGAGGCCCTATTTGGCCCAGCTATTCCTCTCCTGGGTATCTTCCCAGAAGAACTGAAAACATCACTCCACAACAATATATGTGCACCCATGTTTATACCAGCACAATGTGTCATAGCTAAATCTTGGAAGCAACCCAAATGACCATCAACTGAGAAAAATGTGGTCTTTTTATGTAATGGAGTATCATTAAGCTATAAAGAAGATAAACTTGTGACTTTTATAGGTAAATAGAAGCAACTTGAGACCATACTCATCAGTGAACATCTTTGGTCACTGAAGACTCGTGTAAACCTCATATTGTCTTCCTAGTATAAGAACCTGAAAGAGTAAATAAGACCAAAATGTACAATAGATATTAGGAAATTAGAAGAAATTGCTCAAGAGGAAAGAGAAACTAGGGTAGGGGAAAGAAAAGGAAAAAAATTAATGAATGAATATATGCATATATATATTATACACACACACACACACACACACACACACACACACATATATATATACAAGATAGGTAAAATAGTTACAGTACTAATTTCTTTGTTCACAGAAAAGAAAGTTTGTGCCTATATTGCCTGATCAATTTTTCATGCCTATATCTGGCAATCTCAGTAACTACTGTTACTTTGAAGATAACAATACTCAATGCATTAACCATTGTTACTGCCCTACAATCTTGTTTTGAAAATTTGTATCATTGTTTTTATTGGTGATAAAATTTCATCTAATTTATGCTGGTTATCTCAGCATAATCTCTTAACAAAGTAGATTAACAGGAAGCCCTAAGAAGAGGGTTACCCATGAGCAGTCTGAGGAAGGACTACTGGACCTGCCCATCCTGTGGCCTTTGGGTTGGAGACACCTGATTTGCCTGGCTGTACTGAGTGAAAAGGAGTTCTCTTGGGCTACGAGTAAGACATGTAATATGGTTAATGTGTATAAGTAAATTTCTTTATTGAAAATAATTCTTTAAAAAACCACAGAGGGCTGTAGGTTGCACATTTCTGCAAGGCTCATAAACCTCACCCTACCATCCTGGGAGCTGGGAAAACTGCATCTCCTTGGGACTTGAGGTGACTCCTGTGCCCACTACGATCCAGGGGCCCCGACCCACTGACTAAGGCCTGTACAACACAGCATTCTGTTATATCCAAGGAACTATAAAATTAGACAGACACATACTTTCCAGGCAGTTTTCTCCTATTCAGCTCCAAAATTCTGGACAGTACACAGTCTACACCTGAATTCTTATCCATGGACCTCAGAACAGAGTTTTTATATTTAGTCTACTTTCTAATCTGGAAGGAAGACAATTATAAGTTGGAGGATTCTGGGTCAAACTCTACCTGACTCTTCCCTATCTGTGTGAACATGGATACCAGCTGTCACTTCTAGGCACTGGATTCTTGATCTGTAAAAATAAGGATTCCCCCCTCAAGGATTTTCTCTCTTGAGGACTTTTTTCCAATATTAATGATTGAGCCCAGAACCTTAGCACTGAGCCATATTCCCCAACCACCACGACCCCTTTTAAAATTTGAAATAAGATCTGTTTGAGTAGATAAATTACATAGGTTTGCTTAAACTTGAGATCCTCCTGCTTCAGCCTCCCAGTGTGCTAAGATTATAGGCATGGGCCACTGCCCCTGACTTTATTTTTTTTTAATTTTTAAATTGTTTTCTTTTCTTTTCTTTCTTTTCTTTTTTTTTTTTTTTTTTGTATTTTAGGGAAGGGTCTACAGGGTATTCAAGGTCTCACTATTAGATTGGACTCCTAGTGATCTGCCTGTTTACAGCCTCCCAAGAGCTGGAATTACTGGCACATGTCACCACACCTAGTCTCAATAGCCATCTCAGCACTCCCTGGGGGTGGGAGGGATGCTGGCACAGCAGATCCAGGGAATCGAACCCTGGACCCTGTGCCTACTTGCAGGCACTTTAATCTGCTGAGCTATTTGGCCGGCCCAACACCTGACTTTAAAAGATATTTTGAAATATTAAAATGAGAAAAACAGAGACAGGAGGATTTAGGCAGTATCTTCTCAATAAATACTGGTTTGGGTACAGATTGGGCTTTGATAGGAGACTGTTAGCACAGTCTTGGTGAGGAGGAGGCAGATGAGGGTGCACGGAGAACATAGGGAATCATTTTAATTCTAACAACTTAGGTCTTTCCTGAAACAGCAAGTATCTGCAATACAGCGACATACATGCAGCAGTGGGGACTTGGAAACGTGTTAGCTGGTGTGCCACATACCCAGAAGGCAGTAATTTAATAACCACTTTACATTATTTAATAATGATTGTGAAAGTAAAGCTTATCACTTACTTGATCCAGATACGTGCCAGTCCTTACATTCCCTAATGGAAATGTCATTATCTAGGCTTATTTTAATTCTTCCACTATGAGCCTTGTTATCAAATGTTATCTGTGAAGACAGGAAAAGGGGGAAACACATATGTAGCTTTTGCTGGTTCAGTCCCAGCACTGCAAAGAAAAACAAAACAAACCAACTCCCAGCAGCACAAGCTGAACCATAACCCTGGCCCTTTTTATTTATTTATTTTCTATTTTGAGACACAGCCTCTTTAAGTCACCTAGGTGATCGGTGATCTTCCTGCCTTAGATACCTAAGTACTGGTGTTAATCTTTGCAGCCGAGATACCTCTATGCATTAATCAGAAAGCAGTTATGCCAAGGGTACAATAGACCCAGATTCTCATTTCTTACCTGTTGCTAACTCCATTCAATCTTGGGAAATTCCCTTTAAGTCTCAACTACATCTGCTATAGAAACATTTTAGTCTAATACCCTGGGCTTTAGGACACATTCCATCCCCGTATACCTTATATAACAAGAATACCTCCCTTACCTCCCATTCCAAGAACCTCAAGATGCCCTTTTGATAGGGCAAGCGCCAGGACCGCTGTGCTTTGCCACAGCCTCCAGCAGGCTTCAGGAGGGATGAATTGCAATGCTTCTGCAAGTTTTACTAACACAGAAGCTCATTGTTTCTGTTTTGAGAGACTTCAGGTAAAGCTCTTAAAATTTTCATTTTGGGTATAAGGTTCTTAGTCACTCTGGTACCACATGTATTATACAGGGCTTGGTGACAAGAAATGTCAGAAGATACCAGGCACCCAGCAGGACAAACCTATTCAGAACACTTTCACAGTTCTCCACGTGAGACAAAATGGACTGATTTTCTTGTGCCAGGCAGACACTATGCCACTGAGCTATATTCACAGCCTTATATTTCAAGGAAAACTCAGAAGAAACTGAGTCTATCAAAGCAGAAAAAATACTGGCTAGGATTGAAAAGTACTAAGCAGCACAGAAAAGGGATTGTTAAATTTGAAGACATAGCTTAAAGAATTGTACAAAATGAAACCAAAACCAAAAACTGAACATAAGACAGAGTAATACTGAGCTAAGGGACATGATCAAGTGATGAAATACAGATGTAATTGAAATCTCTGAAATTTGAGGGGTTAGCAACAGAAAAATATTTGAAGACATCACAATGAATAAATATAAAGCACAATGGAAACTATAAACTCAGAAACCACAGCTGCCCCATGAATTACAACTATAGGAAACATGGACAAAATGGTATCAAGGCAGGTCATAACCAAATCCTTTTGAATATACAGAAAAATCATAGAAGCAAGGAAACATCCCACACAGAGGACCAAGATAAGGTTGACAACAGATTTCATTTCTCATGAGAAACAACATAAGCTAAGAGAACTTCTCGGAAGTACTGGGGGCGGGGAAGGCAGAGATCAGTCAAACTAGAATTCTATGCTCGGTGAGATTACCTTGAAAAGCTGAAGGCAAAATACTTCTTCAGACGTAAAAAAGGTGAAAGAATTCATCACCATCAGACTCATACTACAAACAGTGTGAAAGAAGCCCTTGAAGCAGAAGGAAAATAATGTCTTCTGGTATCATTTATTGCTATAAATAAGAATGCAGAGCCCGCCAGATAGGTCAGCGGATTAAAGTGCCTGCTTAGGCAGATGCAGGGTTTGATCCTCAGTGTGCCATGATGCCTCTCCCCCCGGGGCACACTGAGATGGCACCTGTAATCCCAGCACTTGGGAGGCTGAAAACAGGAAGATCACTATGGTTCTGATCTGTGTAGTGAAACCCTGCAGACCCTCTACTAAATACACAAAAATGAAAATAAAAAATAAGAATGCAGCAAACCAGATATTTTCTTATGTGACTACATAAGAAAATAGAAATATTTTTTGTTATCATTTAAATTACCTTGAAAGATAATTGGCTATTTAACACAATAATGTATTGTGGGATTTATAGCATGTGTAGAAGTTATATGCCTACAATAAAAAGACTAAGTGGAAGAAACAGAAGTATTATTATAAGACTCCTTTACTGTACATCCTCTGGTATAACATCACTTGAAGGCAAACTGTAATAAGTAGGAGATGGATGGAGGCCACTGTGAAGCAGCTCTGAGCAGGATTTAATATTAACCAATTGGCTTTTCATGTTTATGTGTGAGTCTGCCTGAGGCCTCAGCCCTTGTCTGGAGACCGGCAGTGGACTCATAATAAGTGGGCCTCTGTGAGGCACTAGTCCCTCTCACAGGCCTCATTGGCCTGTGAAGTTGGGATGCCTGAAAGGATAAGATAAGGCCACAGATGAGGACTTTGGCTCCAACCCCGCTTAACTAAAAGACACTGCAGCTGCAGACTTCTCACTCTTGCAGTGAAAGCCTTCTTGGAAATGACAAAGTTAACTTAAATTAGCATAATTTATTACTTGGGTAAGCCCTTGAAGGGACCCCAAATCTTGCCCAGATTCCTGCATTTTCTTCACTATTCCCTTACTTTGTTTGAAAAGCAATACATATAGAGAAGTCCATTGTCTTAAACCCCAGAAAATCTCTGTGAGAGGGTTTGGATACTCCTGGAGCCCTAAAATCATTCCATTTGTCTCATTTCAGGGGCTTGCCTGATAGCTCAGTTGTTTAAAGCACTGCTTGAGTAAATGCAGTCAGGCGCAGGGGACCGCAGTTTGATCCCCAGGCCAACAAGCCACAACACACCAGCCCTTAAAGCAGCCAAAACTGCCCCCCCAAAAAAATCCTTGTCCATTTGTCTCATTTATCTAAGCCTTTGCCATTCATTGTTTTTGGGAAATTGTGGGCTGATAAGGAGAGTCACCTGAAGAGAAAATATTCTCTCAGGCTTTCACAGAGAGCAAATTGGTCAAGCAATGGCTGTGACTCATCCACATGGCTGATACTGACAAAGGATCTGCAACCTGCAGTACAGAGTTTCAGGGTAAATCCTGAGGGTACTTGACTGACCTTATCAGATAGAAGAGTTACATTTCTTGTTATACAGGTCTTGCTTTATCTTGGTCTTAACCATCCAGCAGGAAAGTATAAAAACGAGGTATATAAAGTAAAGCCATATTAATATGCTGAGCTGTGAAAGGCTCAAGTCAACAACTTCTGCAGATAACCACTACTATTATGGATTGCTGGACTGTGTTGAATTGTTTTGCTAAATTCAAGCACCTATAGTATTTAGATGCCAATGGAATACCCATCCCTGACAGGACTAAACAAAAAAGGGTGATGCAAAGGAAGGACCATTTTGTATCTGTATATGCAGAATAGTTAGGATAGATATACAGCTACTTTTGCTTAATTCAATGAGAAGAAAGATTTGTGCTAATAGTGTTTGGACAGGATATCCTTTCTCCTTCTTGTACTATGGATAACCACTAAGAAGATAACAATGTACAATGTATTAATTATTGAAACTGTCCTGTTAATCAGTTTTGAAACTGTCTTATTGCTATCTGTTTCTCAAGAAAAGAAAAGAAATTGAGGGCTGACTAGGCCCCCATAACTATGGGATCATATTAAGGTGATAAGAGATACACAAAATAAACCTCAAAATAAAACATCAAAGAGATATAGTAAGTGAGCTAACAAATGAGATAAAATAGAATTATAAAAAAGTTCAATATAGAAAAATAAGAAAAACATATTAATAATCCTATTAATGGTCTAACTTAAAGGATCTAAGCAACCTAACTAAAAGAAATCATGAGATTAGATAAAAAAGCAAGTCCCAACCATATGGTACCTGAAAAGAAATCACTTTAATACAGAATAGAAATTGGTTAATATGAAAAGGGTGGAAAAAACACAGCATGAGAACACTAATCAGAAGAAAGCCAGAATGGCTATATTAGCATTAAATAACATAAATTTTAAAGCAGAGACTATTTATGAGGGTAAAAAACTACCATTTCATGATAATAAAAATCATTTCATCAAGTAAATCAAGTTCATCCTAGATATTTACACAATTAATAAAGTGCTTCAAAAATGCACGATGCAAAAATTTCTTAAACTGCAGTGCATGAATGAGAATGTGCTATTTTTCCATTGTAAGTTTAGCCAGGCAACCAAAGCAAGGGCTTAAAAATCAGTTGTTGAGGACGGGGGAGGCAGTTCAGTGACAGCACTTGCCTAGCATGGGTGAGGGGCTGGCTTCAATCCACAGTGCCACAAAAATGTTCCAGTTGAGAACTAGCTTCCCATTATATACCAGCTACTTTCTAATATATATCAGGTCCTTTGTATACATGACCTTATATCTTGATGACAGCCTAGTTATGGACATTAACTTTGCTTTACAGATGAGAAAACTGAGGTGCAAATAAATTGAATAATTTACTTCAAGTTACATAGCTACAAACTAGTGAGCTGAGACAGGCTTATCCTACTTTCCCATCAGGTGTCCTCTGCCCAGTCCATACTCCCTTACAATAATAAGGCTGCACCAATGGCTTTCATTACTGAATGTATAGCCCACGAAGTCTATCACAGTTCCATAAGACATGCTGCTAACTCCCCAGCGCAGGGGCAATGGCTTTGAATATGCCAACGAATAGTGTTGGAGCTGCAAGAAGTCTGTCTGTGATTAAAAGGCTAAACTGAACTGACTCACTCACTGGGAAGGATCCAGATTTCATAAATACTTCATCTATTTATTTAACAACTGTTGGGCTGGTGAGATAGCTCAGTGGTCTAAAGCACCAGCTTAGGCAAGCTTAGGCAAAGCGCAGAGACACAGTTCAATCTCTGGCACCACATGCCGTGAAAAAAAAAAGACTGATTTAACAGATATTATGCCATCTCTATATTCTTTGAGGGATTAAGAAACTAATAAAAGATTCCTGCCTTCAAGGAGCTTTCAGTCTAGCAGAATTAATGACAAACATAGAAGAAAATCCTAAAAATGAGAAGGAGCTAAATCCTTAAGAAATGAAAAGGGGGAGGCAAAGGGAAACAAACAAAAACCCACAAAACACATACAAATGCAGAGCATAAATATATTTCTAACTCAGGAATCACAAAAAGTTCAGTGAATAAGGTAGGAGAATTATAAACAATACTAGAAAGTTCTTTTTCCTTTTTTTTTTTTTTCTTTGTTCTGGAATTTTATTATTAGCTGAAAAACCAGGCTGTATCACAGATTGTGGTCTGGTCAGCTAATTCTTTTTTTTTTTTAATTTTATTTTTTATTGAGAAATAAATATAAATGAGACAGTTTCACAACTGATTAATAGGACAGTTTTGATAATCAATACACTGTACATTGTTGTCTTCTTAGTGGTTATCCATAGCACAAGAAGCAGACAGGATGTTCTGTCCAAACACTGTTAGTACAACTCAGAAAGCTCATTTTTAAAGAAAGGCTGTGGCTGATTGGTTGAGTTTTTAAAAAAAAATCAAACGACACTGATAATTCATCCTTTGCTAGTTAATATAAGGGCAAAAATTTGTAGCTTAATCCATAAGAATCTCATGTTTTACTGCTTTTCTCTTGTTAAATTTTCTGTATAGTCGTTACAGTACTACTATACAGTGGAAGTTCTTTACCCTCATTATCTCTGAAACTTGATTTTTCACAACTAATTAAGTATCAGGGATGGACCTTTTGATACAAACTCCTGCTGCTAGAAATCTGGATCATACAAAGATAAATTCCAAACTGTGCCCTACGGGGGACCAAGTAGCTGTGGGACACTCACTCTGCTCCTGTGAGGTGAGAACCTTGCAAGAAAACATCTTGCTCTCTAGAGAGCCTTCTAGCTTGCTCTGCAGCTGGAGTCTAGGCAACGCAGAAGAAACCAGGTGGGCTGGAGCAGGAGAGATGAACCAGAGCCTGGAGAGGCCACACCAGGAAGGCCCAGCGAGGGACAACCAAAGGCTGCCATCAGGAGCGCTGAGGAAACTCAGCACAGGACGCCAAGCAGAAAGCCACGCACTCAGACCAAAAAGCTACAACTCTTGTTGCACAGGTCCTGCTTCACCTTGGTCTTAACCATCCAGTAGAAAAGTATGAAGATGAAATATAGGAAGTAAAGCCATGCTGTTAGGTTGAGCTGTGGGGGACTCAGGTCAATAATTTCTGACATTGCCAGTTAAACAGAAGACCCAATGCTATTATGGGCTACTGGACTCTTTTAGAATATTTTGCTGAGTTTACACACCTATAATATTCAATAACGGAACTTAGAAAAAATGGGGTATACCGATGAATGTCCATTTTGTATCTGTGTATTCAAAGTGGTTAGGATAGATATATAGTTGCATTCTCTTAATGAATAGAATGATTTGTTCTAATGGTGTTTGTAAATAGGATCACAAGTCCGCATCTTGTACAGCAATTAACCACTAAGAAGAATATATGCAGTGTATTATTTGTTGAAACTGTACTTCCGATTTGATTTGAAACTGTCTCATTGCTATCTGTTTATCAATAAAACTTTGAAAAAAAATAAAAAAGAAAGCCATGCACTGCGCCTCCCTCTTGCATTTGAACATCTACTCCCTGCCGGGCACTGGATTCAAGACAAATCCCTGCCCTCATAGAACTGACAGGAGGTACAGAAAACAGGTAACAAGGAAACAAGACACAACAATCAAGCAGAGCTGGCTGTATCTGCCTTCTCCCCAGGCACATTCGTGTGGAAACATCCTATACTTCTGATCACTCCCTCACACAAATATGTGAAGCACAGAACAAGATAAAACAATTTTTCTGCAGACCGGAGCCAGGGCAGGGCAGTGCACACTTACCGTCAGGGTAAAGTCGTAGCAGTCGGGGAGCTCCTGGTGACGCACAGTCTGCAGGTTGATGGCCTTCAATTTAAACTGAAGCTCCACTGTCAGCAGCCTAGAAAACATAGGGGGCTTTAGTGGGTGGAGACACACACACGCACACATATGCACACACACGTGCACGCATGCACACATGCACGTACACGTTATGCTCCCACCCGTTCCCCTTACCTGTGGAAGTCCAGTGTTAGGTTGAGTTTGTTTTCTTCTGGTGTTCCAATGTGAAAAGGTTCGTCTGGCTCCACGAAGAAACATTCTGCCATGGAAAGAAACAAAAGCTTGATACGCTGCCTAACAAACAAATAAAACTTCATTTTGAAAGGATAATTCACTTAAGATCCATTATTCAGACTCCATGATTTTTTTTTTCTGAATTAAGATTTTAGAAGCTAGGGCCAGCCAGATAGCTCAGCGGACTAAAGCGCCTGCTTAGGTGGATGCAGGGACTGGGATTGGATCCCTGGCGAGCTGTGCTGGCTCTGCCCCCTGGGGCACGCTGAGAGGGAGGCGACTGAGACTGGGCGCTTGGGGGGCTGAAAACAGGAGAATGATGAAGAGTCTGATCTGTGTAATGAGCCCCCATAGACCCTGTACTAAATACACACACACACACACACACACACACACACACACACACACAGAGATTTTAGATGTCTTTCATCAATACGACTTGGTTAGAGCACCTTATGAGAGCAGCTTACAAATTAAAGCACCTTACAGTTTTAAGATCTACACATTCTAGGAGTGTTTGGCGGTTAGAAAAATGCCTGAACTCTGCCTCATTAAGCTCCTATAAAATGCCACCTTCCTCTCTGTTCTGTAATATTTATTTATTTATTTATTTAGTACAGGGTCTCGCTACACAGCTCAGACTCTTAGTGATCTTCCTGTCTCTGCCTCCCCAGTGCTGGGGATTACAGGTGTGCACCACCACACCCAGTTTCTGTGGCTGGCCAGGCACACCTGGGGTCCTAGGGCCAGCACAGTATGTGATACCTGGGATCAAACCCAGTTCCTTGTGCTTGCCAGGCAAGCACACAGACTGCTGAGCTATCTCCCTAGCTGCCTCTGTAATCTTAGGACAGCTCTGAATCCTTCCCCCTCCTCTCTTTGTGTGCTAAGTGAGGACCTGGAGCACTCACAGTGCCTGATTTTCTACCTACTTGCCTCTAGGGTCCGCTATACATCTCCGTGGCCTTTTATGAAAGAGGCTGGGGCAACCGCAGGCAGTAATTGGCAGGCAGTGAGCCTGTAAATCTCCATCTGTGTTTACAGCCCTCTACTGCACTTGAATCACCCAGAAACTATTCTCCTCTCCCACCTCCATCCCAACCCATCCATGAAATACTTTCTTCCTTGAAACCAACCCTTCCTGTCAAAAACATGGGGACTACTGGTGAAGGATCTATTTAAGAAAAATATTTTATATTTTTACATTTTCCTCTGTATAGTACTTTAAGGAAGGCAGAATTTTAGAAAATTCTCACAGTTGGTGCTGTTATCCTTCCCTAGTCCTTGCTGTATAGTAAATTACTCAGAAGCGTGATTTGTAAGTATAATGTCCAGCTGCCCCACACGCTTACCCATAGGCAATTCCCTACGAGAGGCAATAGAGTATGTGGCTGAGCTTATGGCTGCTTCTTATTACTTCATCCTGAGTAGGTCAGTTGGCTGTCTGAGCTGTACTTCAGTCTTCCAGGACACAGAGATAATAAACCTTGCCTTATCGAAGTTTCTTTGAGGATTCCTGAGTTACAGTAAAGGGCTTAGGACAGTAGCCAACACCTAAGAACATCTATCTAGTTTTTACTACGCCCTAATAGCACAAATCATAGCATTATTTTCAGAGACAAATTTGTAGATTTTAAGTGTCAATCAAGGCACTAAAAACTAAAGCTTGAGCACATAGGACATTACCCGTTTCAATTTCTGGATCAATGTCAAAGGTGTCATTTCCCGGGCAGATGTTTCCATGCTTGTAGAAGTGCTGACAGATCGCCATGGCGGACTGTGTGGTGCCCTTGTTCTCATAGGCATGATTCCCAACTGAGACATTGCGCAGCTGCAGGTACTTCAACGAGAAAAGGAGCAAAAACAGGAGCGTGAGCCAGGGCAGAAGGAGCCAGGCGGTCCCCACCTCTCCACCTCAGACCTCAGCAGGTGCCCACCTCCCCACAGGGTGGAGACAGGCAAGTTGAGTGTAGACCATGACTTGCTCTTGAGCACCAGGAAGGGAGGGCAAAGGGTGCTCTTGAGTCAGGGTTGGAGGTTTAAGGCTCATCCCAGTCACAACTGTTCTCAGTTATCGGTTCCTTATCTTCAAAGGGAACACCTAACATTGCATAATCTTTGAGATTCCTTCTTTAGAGAACAGTGTTCAAAGACTGATTTGCACATCCAGTATGAACACTCATTTTGTCATTGGACTATTTCCTGCAAGGCAAGTCAGAATTCTCTACTATCACTTAAGAAGTGGGATATATTTGTTCCAAGTAGACCATTAAAACCTTTTCTTTAAAAAAATATCACCTTAATCTTTTTTTGACAAAAATACACATAATCCTATTTGCAGATATATTTTTCTTCTTCTACTTAATCTTCTAAATAACATAAAATGCTACCATTACAAATGAAAATCTTGTTGCACCTTGGAATAACTGTCCATGTAAAATCAATGGATTGCCACAGATGATTCAAAGCTTACAGTGAGCAATGTGCTTGCATCACTGGACATATGAAAATAAAGAATGATCTCTCTCTCTCTCTCTCTCTCTCTCTCTCTCTCTCGGAATTAGCAGTTTTGAATGATGGACATAGGAAAGCAATTCTGCTTAAGATGCATGTGAACCAGGCTCTGATAAGTGAGGGAAGTCATTTATGCTCTGGGCCTGTAGGGTACATTCTGAGCTGGACCCTGCCAAGGCTGCCCATAAGCACCATGCGACTAAGGGTAATGCTTATTCTAAACTCTTATCTAACTGAACTGCTCCATCATGTTCGATGTAGGTGAGTGTTTCTCCCTGACTACTACTGCTCCTCCTTCTCCACTCCTACTGCCCTCTTCCTCCTATTACTACTTTTTCTTCTCCTTTTTTCGCTCCTCCTCATCCTTCTCCTCCTCCTTCTTTTGGCTCCTAGGCCACAGGCTGGTGCCTCTTGGTCTCCTTTTCTGAATCCTCCCATCATTCTCTACCTTGGAGTCCCCTTGGATCCAGCCTCTGTATCCACATTTCCTCCACAAGTGACTTCAACCAGTCTCTTGTGTTAAACACCATCTACGTACTGAAGACTTCCAACTTTACATCTTTGGCCTTGATCTTTCCATCAAATACCATCCACGGGTAGCAGTCTGCCTACATGATGCCTATGGTACCCAAGGAGGATTTCAAACCTAAATATGCAACATGAAAACGTACTTCTCCACAATAATTCCCTTCTCCATAAGATGATCAGTCATTCAGCACCAAACTTAGGTAAGGTCCTTCAGACTCCTTTTCTCATATTTCACTTCCAATCCATCAGAAGGTCATGTGTTGACTTCAGCTTCCATCCCATGGGGCTCACCTAAAGCTCAGTGCCACCTCACTGCAATGTGACTGACTCTTACCACTCTCACTGCTGCTGCTGCCCTAGTCCAGCCACCATCATTTCTTCCCCTGACAAATTAAGCCTCTTCACTCCCTGCCTCCTGTCCTCCTCTCCCTTGTCCAGGATCGAGTGAGAGCTCAGGAATGAGGGAATTAATGGAATTCATTCCTTCTTCTTTCTTCATCTGCTCCAGTATGAGAACCTGCTCAACACCCCTATGCCTACTGTCCCTTCTTCCAGCCCCTGCCCCAACTACTATCCCTTCCCTGCTCCTCCAGCACCTTATCAAAGAGCCCTTCTCAGGCTACCCCCAGGTGTTCATTCTGCCTGCTGTATTTTGTCCCTTTAGTACTTATAACTGGCAGATGGTGCCCTGGTGTCCTAGTGTGTTTGGTCACTGCCTGTCTCTGCCTATTGTAGTACGACACGTTGGCTCTGTCTGTTTGCTTACCGCAGTATCCCCCCTCCAAACAAGTACCCGATATACCATAGGTACCAAGTAAATATTTGAACAAATACTTCCTAGCTTTTCCATGTATAATTGAATCTCTGCCTTATCTAAAGCTCCCATGGTTTCCTGCCCCTCTCAGCATAAGACCCAAAGCTCTTCCAAGTCCTGCAAAGCCGGAGAGGCTGGGCCCCTGCCCTCCCCTCACTGACTCCTACTTGCACTCCCACCCTTCATTTCCTCAAAGGCCCCAGCCATTGCCGCCCTAGACCTCTGCTGCTAGCTACTCCTTCCTCCTGGAATACTCTTCCCCAGATTCAAAATCCTCAGAACAGCCTTTTCTGATCACCCTGAGCCCTTAGCCATTGCTTTGCACTACTTCATTTTATTTCATAGCATACATCCCTACCTTAAATTTGATTTACCTTACCTATGATTTTGGTCAAATTTTTTAACTCTCTCTCTCTCTCTTTCTCTCTCTCTCTCTCTCTCTCTCTCTCTCTCTCTCTCTTTAGAATGCAAACTCCACAGGAAAGAGAATTTATCTAGTCCAATGCTTTAATGTCAGCACTTTAGGGCCATGGTAAGTGCTCAAGCATTTGTCAAACTGATGGCAAGGTGAAAATTATCACACTGTGATGGTAGCTCTTAATCATAGTTATATATGCACAATAAGTTGGTAAACTCCAAGGATAAGATACATGATTACAGCTCCAAGCTGTTAGCATCAGGATGGGGAAAAAATGAGCCTCCTGCAGTAATAGAAGCAAGCTGCATATTTTACTAAGCAGTATTATATTCTGCAAGTCTGAAGAGATAGGAGAATGCTGAGTTATTAAAGTTTTGGGATTTTGTTTCCCACCATAGATACGGTATACCTGGAAATATGGGGCGCACAGTGGAAGGTAACTCTAGAAAGTTACAGTCAGACCTGAGATGGTTTCTGGGTATGTGTGGGGTGACCCCCAAAGAGTCCTCCAAAGCTCTGAACTTCTTGATCACAGAATCTCCTATCTTGAGCCTTTTCAGACCTCAAAATGTACAAGATCTGAATCCCGGGGCTTAGCACCATGAATTATGTGACTGTACGACAGCTTCCTGGGTGTCTGCAGCTCTCAGTGGAGGTCTCAGCGGCAGGCAAGAATTGGATGGTCCAGAGCCAAGTGGCAGGCCTGCAGCCAGCAAAAGGACCACACTGGAGACCAAGTCCTCTGCAGAGGACTGGAAAGGAAAGGGAGGCCACCCGGGGCATGTAGGGCTTAGCTGCGCTGACACATTCCTCTTCTGGTCTTGGCGGCTCTGCCTTAAGAGGAGATTTTCACTCAGATCAAAGGTCCAAGGTCAGACTTCAGATAATAATATAAAATCAAAATTAGAGGGGGCCTGGCCCTAGCTCAGGCCTTTAAGTGGCTGCTTCCACAAAGCTGTCAGCCTCAGGTTGCTGGAGTTCGAACCTCACAACTCGCCCGCTGGCCAAAAGTGCCCTGAAGGCGTTCGAGGAGAAAAAAAAAAAAAAAAAAAAAAAAAATCTAAATTAGAGGTCCTTAGCTGACTGATTGGCACCAAAATTAAAGCAAGTTTCAAGTGGTTTCACCTTGATTATATGTTGCTCAGTCATGGCCCTCCATGATCACTTGAGCTTAATAAGTGGTATAAGGCTTTTGAGCTTATTCACAGACAGCTGAGTGCCTGTTTATCTCCACCGTCACAGACCAAGCACATGAAATGCTTTGTTGTTCGGCATTGCTATAGAGAGAGGTATAGAAAAAAGTGCACTTGTATCTATATCCTAAGAAATGTTATACAGCAAGGTCTATGATTTTAGGGGAATGCACTGCAAAATTTCATTCCAAAAGGACACCCTGTACCAAGAGGTGGTAAAGTAGATAGGCGAGGAACAAAGGAAGCAAATCAGACAGAGATATTAATGCATGATGTTTGAGCTGCAAGAGTAAATGATTCCAAGAAGACCCTGGTGCCTTTAAACCTGAGCACTAGACCAGAAAGAGCAAGCAGTCTGGGCAGCAGGTGGGAGGAGGCAGCGAAGCTTCCTTGGGCAGGGTGCTTCTTCCCCGGCAGCTGGGCAGCAGCATGAGTAACTCTGGAAGCCCCCCAAACCTGGTGATGACCAGGGCTGCGCAGCGCAGGACATTTCTTCCAGAAAAGGACAAATCTCTGACCATTGTCCCAACAAAGAAAAGAAGCCAACAAAGATGACCCAGAAAGGATGGAGGAAATAAGATGAGAGCCAAGACCTAGTAAAACAAAGTAACTCTTTGATGCTCAACTATAGAAGACTGTACTATAAGCAAAAAGTGTTGCAATCACCGTATTTGACCATATGAGGACTCAGAAAAAAAGGTGCAAGACACACATCCTGTAGCTTCCCTGACCTGAGGCTTTCCAGCCTGTAGGACTGTAAGAAATAAATTTCTGTTATTTGCAAGTTGTCCAGACTCCGCATTTTATTAAAGTAGTAAGAAAAAGACAACCAGGACACTGAATCTATACAGAGTTCTCCATGTAAAGATCGTGGAAATCTGTTAAGCAGAATGACCCAATACCAAGCACGGTATTTTAAAGACTGAGCTTGGGCCTAATGAATATAATGGGTGGTTAACCTCTTACCTGTACCTTCCACACCCCCAAAACAAAAACCCAACTACCATTCTGATCACTTTAAAGAAACATAATATACATAATGCAAAAATCTCACAATTGAGTATCTCTAGAAATAAGCCATTTTCCCCTGTAAATTCCAGGCCAATATTCTGTTTAATGTTATGTAGCTTCTACCTATTACTGATTTTCTCATTCCTGATGCTAACTAAAAATTTCATTCCAAAAGGACACCCTGTACGTGGGCAGCTCACCATCTCACTGTAGAGACTGTCCCTGGAAAATGAACAGTCATGACTGTACGGTAACCATGCTTTGCAGAAGACTGGTAGTAATTATGAACCATGATCTGTAAATTAAACCCATGCTGAAATACTGACTTTAAGAGCACTTTCAGTGAAATGTACACAATACTAAATTTGGTATTTTGTTAAAGCCCCATGGATAAAAAGTCACTGATTAGAAACTCATACTAGGTCCTGCCAAATAGCTCAGTGGATTAAAGTGCCTGCAAGCAGGCACAGGGGCCGGGGGTTCAATCCCCAGGACTGCCATGCCAGCCAAACCCTGGGGGTGCACTAAAATGGCAATTGAGACTGGGCGTGGTGGCACATGCCTGTAATCCCAACTCTTGGGAGGCTGTAAATGGGTGGATCACTATGAGTGTGATCTAGTAGTGAGACCCTGAACACCCTGTAGACTCTTCCCAAAAAAAATAGAAACTTTGACTAAAACTCTGACTCATCTGTATGGAAAATAAGCTTCCTTTTTGTGGCAGTTAGCACCACAATAAAATCACTGTCATGTCGACACAAAAGCTTTACTTACTTTAAATGAACTTTCAATTCTTGGTTCCTACACAAACTCTGTAAAGTTAGTATTCTCATTATTTGTTGAAAGCCTCTGAAATTATGAGATTGGACGACTTAATAACTATGTACTTCCCGGGTAATGCTCAGTAATTTTAAGTTTTTGAGGCTTGCATGTAAAGATGTAACTCTGATTCTTTCAATTAAATTACCAAAGTTTCTACTCAGTACTAAATAAAAGCTTTTCTCAATTTCTAGTTTTGTAAAATTTTGCTGGCAATAGTTTTAAGAAACATTTAAAGACAGCGTGCTGCCTGCATCATTTCCGAGCGGAACGGTTCCCCTCTCTACACTTAGGTGTCAGTTTCCGTAATGCGCATGGCTACTGCTTTTCCAGGCTGTTCTTCCTCCCAAGAGTGGATTGGCCTGACTTACCTGGTTGACTGCAAAGATGATCTGATCGTATACGTCGCTTTGTGTATATACTGCGTATGTGTCATCCATGCGGTCCATGTATCCTTTGAGGAAGAGATGTTTGAATGCTATAGTGTTCTCTTCCTTGAAAGCTACCACCATCTGGTTACTTAGTCCAAAAAGAACCAGCTTTAAAAAAAAAAAGAGCAGAGATGGAATAAAAATGGCAAGATGAGTTTACAGCAAATTCCAGAGGACATCAAGAAGGCCCTGCCTGTCACCTTGTAAAAAAGTACAAGTTCTATGGCCAAACTGTTCCTATTCCCAGGCCTCCTTACCAAACCTGTAGCAAAAAGATCAAAACTAGAAAAAAACCTTTTCAATTTATCTCTAACTTAAAGTATATTGACATAATGTGCCTTAACATTCAGGTAGGATTGACTGCAGAATTTTATATGAAACTCAATTGTTTGCACAGAAAAAATTGGTTTCACTGTACTACTGTCATGGTGACATAAGCTCTTCTAATCATATCCAAAAGCTTGCTGTCATGGTTCAGATCTAAAATGTCCCCCCAAAGGGTAATGCATTCAGAGGCGGGACTTTCAGAGGTGACTAGATTATGAGGGCTCTAGCATCATATTTTGATGGCATCTCTGGGAGGCAATGGAGACCTACAAAGTCCTGGTGGAGGGGGCTAGATCACGTGACACGACCTTCAGACTGCACCTTTCCCTAGACCCTTCTTCCTGGATCCCATGAGGTAAACTCTGCCATCAACTTACCCTGTGCCCTGATGTCTCTGCCTCCCCACTGGCCTTAAATCCACAGAGGTAGTTCACCAGGGACTGAATCCTCTGAAGGCATGAACCTAAATAAATCTTTCCTCTTTAAATTCTTTTTTACAGCTGTTTTGTCACAAAAACAAAAAGGCTAATTTGGTTTATTCTAAGTCTGATTGGAAAGTTTCTTTCCAATCTCTGTCCATGTCTCTGTCTCTGTCTCTGTCTCTGTCTCTGTCTGTCTCTCTGTCTGTCTGTCTGTCTGTCTGTCTCTCTCTCTCTCTCTCTCTCTCTCTCTCTCACTGTCTTTCTGTGTGTATGTGTGTAAGTTTAGATCCCAGGGTCAGGCAGATCATAGTTTACACAAAAGGGGGAACAGCACTGAGCATACATTCTCTTACACTAGTCTACAAATCTTCTTTATCATATTTATTAATTCCACATTAATTCCAAATGTAAGAATTTTGCAAGGAGTATATAAAGGCTCAGAAAAGTTAGATAATTTTTTTAACCCACATCACTAGCAAGCATACAGTCAAAATTGAAAACTGTGTCTGACAGACTAAATCTAATTTCTACCTGTTTTATCATGTACACAAGCAATCCAGAGTCTGATGAGACCCCTGTCCCCTCCCCTACTGATGTAGGCCTCAACCCATCTGGCATCCTCCTAACTCCTCCTAACTCTACTCTCACTTCTAAAAAGACTTTTAAAGCTAAGTGCCCTCTCACTGAAGTCACAGTAAGATGAAAGCTTGACAGTCTAAGAATTTTACATCTCTTAAAGTCAATGACCAAAATATCTTCGAAGATGTCCCAGTGATACCCTTATCAATTCATTCAGTTATATAAGTGCCTTCCACAGGCCAGTGTCTAGTGGGGTACTAAGGATAAAATGAGACATCCTCAAGGGCTGAACATGGACAGGAGGAGAAGGGCTGAAGGAACTGCCATGACTCAGAGACTGCGCCAGTTAGTGGGACAGGGAAAATTTTAATAGGGCTCCCGTCATTGGGAACACAGGCTCTCCAATTTAATAGAAAGACTCCTTCCTCCTGAAAAAAGGTAATCTGTCTCTAAGCTGCTCTAATTTGCTTAATAACAAAGTTGCTTTTATGTGGTTTATTTGGTTGCTTAGATGCAGAATGAAGAAAAAAATCACAATTAGGAGAATCTCAGTTACTTTTTAAAACTTACCTAAGCAGCTTTTCCACCCTTATTTCCAAGGGGCTTAATATACTGGCCAATTTTCCTTTTGACTGCCCCGGTAAATATATGAAAGGCAGGTGAACTTCCCAAAAGATGAAAGAATAACAGCATAAGCCTTAGAGAACATAAATCTGAGTTTGAACCTCAGTTCTATTCTATTATAGTCAGGAATCTACCAAATGCCAGTGTTCTTGTCTGTGAAACAGAGATACCGCTGTCTATATCTACTTTGAAGAATCAAACATGATGATGTCTATAAGATATTACTATGACACCCAGTCAAGCGGTACCAATTGTCATTCTGAGTAAAAAAGTGTTCCCACTGAGCTGATATGCACTTCCAAAGTCTTGATTCTATAGCTCTAAAAAAATCCTATAAATATCGACTTTGTCATCTATAAAATGAGAGATGCTATCATTTACCTGATAAGAGTGTTGCTAAAATTAAATGAAATAATGTATTGGCATGGAAGTTACCCAAATGTTCTTTTCGCTTAATATAATAGCTAGTATCAGAAACACAGGCAAGAATTTTCCTACAATGATATGGTTGTAGGAATTGCTTAGTTTTCAATAAGCAATTCAAATGAGTAATGTCAAAATTTTTTAAATTCTCTTTTAATATTCATTTATTTACTTATGTATTTTTACCAAAAACTAATAAAATAAAAATAAGGATGATAATAAGGATAAATAAACCTAGGATTTCTATTTTTATCTTTAGAAATTTTTATTTTTGTTTTGTTCTTCTGATTTAACAAGAGCTATGACTATTTATTTATTTATTTGGTGGAACCGGGGATTGAACTCAGGCTCTTGCGCTTGTCAGGCAAGAGCTTATTCTAGGGGCCGGGGAGATGGCTCACTAGAATATGTGCTTGCTTGGCAAACACAAGGGCCTGAGTTCAATCCCCGGTTCCGCCAAAAAAAAAAAAAAAAAAAAAAAAGAGTTTATTCTACTGAGCTATCTCTCCAGCCCAAGAGCTATAACTTTTCCCAGCAGATAAAATCCAGTTTCATAAGAATAAATAACAAAAAGAATAAATCACAGTCAGCATATGAAAGAATCATAAAATATGATTCCCCCTATATTTAAAAGTCAAGGAAATTTTCCTTTCCTGAAAACTAATTAGACTAAGTGACTAAAGTTACAATGTAATGAAAGAGTAGGGAAAAAGAAAAAAAATGAAAAAACCTTCCATAAATGAGAAAGGTTAAGATTTTATTTATTTGTTGTTCTCCACTATGCAGTTTAAAAAAAAATTTTTTTTTTTTTGCTTTAAAAAAAGAAAAAAAGCTGTCCTTTGTTCTCTGTGTTTTTAAAACGGATTCTTCAAATTCATGCTTAAAGTTGCTTACCTGAACGGTCACTGTGGCAATTTTCAGAATTTGTATGGCAAGTTTCCACGGTTTTCTGCCTCGAGCCCAGAATTTCTCACAAGGATTCATGAAAAAAAATTTGAGTTTTCTCCTCATCTGGTCTTCTAACAGAAGCTCCTCCGACGGAGATGAGTTCTGGTTAAAAGTGGAGCCATTTTCCTCTCCATGAGAACTGCAGGTGCTTATGACTACCGCAGGGCTGGCGCTCGCCATCTCTAGGGAGGGGGAAACAAAAGCCCGTCATTCCCACTCGGTAGGTACAGGCACAATCCCAGGGCACCACCCATGCGCTTGCTCCTGCAGAACCGTGGGCGGTGAGGACTGAGCCCAGTTTGGGTCAAAAGTTTGTGTCAAATGCACCATTGTCCTAAATTGCATGTCAGACATTCACAGAATCAACTGAAATGTAGATAACGTGTGTTCTCTTTGTTTCAGTCCAAGTGAATTCTCACCTATTTGAAAGTTACCAAATTCAGGGGCTCTGCCTATTAGTAAAAGATTATGTGTAATCTTTCTGTCTCATTGAGTAATAAAGTTAGAGTGGAGATTAGCGATCTGAGAGCCTGATAAGGACTTCAGAGAGGAGGTAGACCCTGACATTATACCCCCAAATTTGCATATATGGGTATACAGTCCCTTCTTCCTTAGGGAAGTCACTCAGGGACCCTCGGCCTGTTCCTTCTCCTGCAAAATGGAAACCATATTCCCCCACATATTCTTATAGAGGGCAGAAATAAAAATGCGAAAGCTCTCTTTGAGTCTAGCACCAAGTGGGTGGCCTCCTTCCCCCACCCCCACAGACAGGACAGCTTTCTACCAGCCAGCAGAGTTCTCCTGGCCAGAGTGAGACCGAGGAATGAAAAGATCTAGCTACAGAGGGAAGGGCGGGCGCTGGCTCGCAGTCCAGTTCCCAACCAGCTGCATCACCTGCAAGTGCTTTTATATTTGTGGAGCACATTTTGCTTTTCAAAGTACCTGATATCTATCATATTTTCTGTCTCTCTGAAAAGGATGGGGTGGTTTTTTCCAAGTGACAAAAAGTCACTCCATAGTCTGGGACCTTTCTTGGACTACCCTTGACGCTAACATTGGGCCAGGGAGATGGCTCAGTGGAATAAGTGCTTCCCTGGCAAGTGCAAGGGCCTGAGTTCGATCCCTGGTTCTGCTCCCCCCCGAAAGAAAGAAAGAAAGAAAGAAAGAAAGAAAGAAAGAAAGAAAGAAAGAAAGAAAGAAAGGAAGAAAGAACATTTATATTTGAGTCTGGGAATAGATCAGTGGTTGAGCATGTACCTAGGATGTGCAAGGCCCTGGAATCAATCCCCAGAACAAAACACACACACACACACACACACACACACACACACACACAAATATTGATACTATGGAAACCTGTTCAAAACAAAGTAAACCAAACCATCAAGAGAGTAGAGTCCTTCTGTATAGACTACAAAGATAGTCAGGCTTGAGAATGGTATTTTTATAATAACTTTTACTCAGCAGTGAAAAGGGAAGAATTTTATCTACATTCATAAAATACCTGACTGGTCACTGTTTAGGTACCATACAACTTTCCAAGTCTAGAAAGTCATGTTTGGCTTAGATTCCAGCATTCTTAGTAAATCTAACAAATGTAGAAATTGGCTATAAAAACTAGCCATGGGAAAAAATGTTTAAACTCCTGATTAATGAAAAGATTAATAAAGATACTGCTGAACAGATAAGGCATAAAACATTTAGAGCATGCTGTGTCCTCAAAATGAAATTATTAACGAAATCATTTAAATGTGGCTCATGTTTAAGTGTTAAAATGCCTGTATGGTAAGTTGTAGGTAATGACAAAAAATGCAAGAAAAAGTTATTAACTCCTTAGGACATTTAAAAACTTATACTTTCCTTTCCTTCTTCTTCTTTTTTTTTTTTTTTTTTTTTTTTTTATACTGGGAATCGAACTGAGGACCTTGAGCTTGGCAGGCAAGTGCTATGTGGCTGAGCTATATCCCTGGCCTCAAGAACATTTTATTTTCTTCAGCAAAAAGGTAGGCTATTTTAGCAAGCATTTAAGACTTTCTTTATGGGATTCAAAATGAAGGTGACTTTATGTTGATAAAATTTGTATATGAATAGCAACATATTGATATTGTTGATGATAATGTTATTAATAAGGTATTTTGTGAATTATGGGTTTGAAATCACATTAAACCCTTTCCATTTTGATAGCAAGAAAAATGAAACCTTAATCAAACTAGGGACACACCGTGTAACAGTAGCCCACAAGATCAAAGAGAATGAGCCAAGCACCCTTCATTTATTCCCCACACAGCACCAAGCTGTTCCGGAAGCAGGGCATTTCATTCGCAAGTACTGACCACTAAGCTTGCTGCGAATGTCGGGCTGACCCTACCTCAAAAGCCCTCACGAGCACGCACCCACTTGGCTGCGTGCAAACTGTTGGGACCCCAGAAGCTGAAGGCGTACTGGCAGCTCCCCTTCCTTGCAGCTAAAGGCGCGGAAGGCAGGAAGTGCAAAACCGCCCTTCGGAGCCCACCCGAGGGCTCAGCACGCTCGTGGACCACTTACCGGCCGCCGCAGCTGCGCAGAGTTGCGGAAAGCGGGACAAGTCCCTTGTGAAAAACAAAAGCCTCACGACTGGCGCCGAAGTAACTTAATCTCATTTCTTCGGCTGCGCTTCACCATTTTATCAGATCAGCTGACTCAAAACTCAAGCCTCTCTTGCTTTCTCTTACTGACCTTTTTTCCTGTGAGCCTTGATACTCGATCTGCGCAGCGTCGGCCCGCAGCTCCCCGCCGCCCCTTCACGCCTTTGTCCCCGAGGACCCCGCCCGCACCCCACTTCACCAGCGTCTCCAACACCGCGAGTTAAGAGCGGCGGGGCGAGCACCTTCCAGAGCGTCCCCCGCCGAGTGGGGCGGCGTCCAGG